CCTCATATAGTACCATATATGGCCGTAAAATTGAATTTTGACCCTTTCCTTGAAAGGCATACGTCCTCAAGGGAAAAATTTAAGGGGGGGTAATTGAAAAAAATCGAGAGGGGTAAGCAAAAAAGTGAAGTGTATTTTGCGAAAAGTGTACTTTTTTCGTTTTTTTTTTCTCCTCACTTTTTCGGCGAAAATCCCTAGCAAATTGAAAGAATTCTTTGAACATTTGGAAGGGGTAACACTTCGTCAGGGGGGGGAGTAATCGGACCCCTCGGACCCCTGCTGAGGACGTATGTTGAAAGGAGTGTATTTTGAAGGCAAGCGGACCGATTTCCGAACTTTTGTATTTTTTCTTGATCTATAACCCAATGGCTTTCCAACTATCGTGGATTTCGTATATTTCGTGTACATATAGCGAGTTCGTTTTTTCAACACACTAATGTGGTTTCGTCACTCGCGCGAATTGCCGTTCGCTGTGATAGGCCCAAAGTAATGCATAAGATAATATAGTTGGGCTACTGTTGGCTACGAACGTTCGTTCGTTCGTTCGTAGGCAATAGAAATAACATTTTTGTTCGTTCGTTCGTTCGTAGGCAACAGAAATAACATTTTTGTTCGTTCGTTCGTTCGTTCGTTCGTAGAAATTTAAAAATAAAATTGTGTTCGTTCGTTCGTTCGTAGAAATCGAAAAAAAAAAATGTTCGTTCGTTCGTTCGTAGATTTTGATAAATAACAATTTTGTTCGTTCGTTCGTTTGTTCGTTCGTTCGTAGCGATTTTTTATTTCAATATTTGACCAAAAAGGAATCAATTATATTATACACTTATGTCCTGATTTTAAAGTATGAATCAATTTATTTTTATTATAGGGCAGGAAGTGATATTGAGATATTTATATTATTTTTGTGTACATTTTTGCGAAAAATGAAAAATTAGTGAAATCATTTTTATAAGCTCCTTCCCATTTCTTCACTATCTTTCTCCATCACCCCCCTTAAATTTTCCCCTTGAGGACGTATGCTCGATCAAATATTTTTTCAACAAATCAAACGTTGGCCATACCATCCAAAGTGTAGGTACTTTATCTGCTTCTAGTCGTTCGCTCCATATTTTGAAACTTTTCAAATAATCTCTGATTATTTCTAGATCATTTCGTGGAATATTAGTCAATTTGTGCATAACATCAGCATTTTTAACTGCTTGTTCTTTCTCCAATAAAATTTGTGCCAATTGTGTATAATTCAAAGCGACTGAGTTCAAAGTGTAATAAACAGTATTCCAACGAACTTCAATATGTTTTTGCAATTTTGGGTTGCATGTTTCACCTAAGTCGCTATTCCGTATGAATGATACCTTTGCTTAAAAATATTGCACTAGCAACTGAAGTTGAACGAGATGATGTGTATGGTGTTATTGATGATTTCATTTGGAAATTAGAACCGTTTCATCAACAAGGTGAAAAAAATTTGAACGAATGCGTGAACATCAACACCGAGAATCAAGACATTTTGGAAACATTCATGGGCCCTTCCAATGTCGAATCAACACCACACAGTAATTTGACTGAAGAATTGCAAAGATACTTGCAAGCGAAAGTAATGCCAACAAACCCATATGATTTTGATTTATGTGGGTGGTGGTATGAAAATCGTCATACATTTTCAAAATTATATCAATTATTCGTGTCAAAGGCCGGAATAACTGCATCTTCGGCACCATCGGAACGAAAATTCAGTGAGACTGGCATAGTAATAACAGCACGACGTTCAAATTTATTGCCAGACACCGTTTCTGACTTAGTTTTGGCACGAAACAGTCTCATGGAATTTTTATAAGTTGTTCATTTTTCACAAAAATTTACACAAAAATAATATAAATATCTCAATATCACTTCCTGCCTTATAATAAAAATAAATTGATTCATACTTTAAAATCAGGATATAAGTGCACACAAATGACCTAGGGGGTAGACACAATAGAGAATGAATGAATACCAATGAATTGTCATAATACCTATCTATTTTCAAATATGACAATTACTTACTTATTTAAAGATTACTTGTACTAAAAATGTGAATACCGTGATTACCAAATGTCAAATTGATATCGGTAATAAAGATTTCAAGTTTCTTCCATTTCGTTTTAACATTCACCATTTCGAAATTTATTTTAATTTTTTCCGTTTTCTTTCTGCTATTTTTATCAAAATTGTTTTTGTATTTATTAAACCAATTGAAATACTACACTTAATAGCGTTGAAAAAGTTTTTTTAATATTTGGAAGATAATATTCATATATGCACATTGTGAGACGTTGCTGAATGCATTGACATTTCGTCTAAAACTGAGAATACCAAGAATACCAAGAATACCAAGAGTACCTTCAATTTCGGTGAATATCTCAAGTATAATTCCATGTGTCTACCCCCTAGCAAATGACAACTAACCTCAATATGAACAAAAATTGACATAAAACTCAACTTATCCGAAGTCTCAACCGTTTTGGGATAAATTTTAGTATGCATTTTTTCCGCTCAAATGCCAAAGTGATATATGTTAAGCACTTAAATATTTGAGCGGAAAAAATCTGAACTAAAATTTATCCCAAAAACGGTTGAGACTTCGGATAAATTGAGTTTTATGTCAATTTTTGTTCATATTGAGGTTAGTTGTGATTTGTGTGTGTATAATATAATTGATTCCTTTTTGGTCAAATATTTGAAATAAAAAATCGCTACGAACGAACGAACGAACAAAATTGTTATTTATCAAAATCTACGAACGAACGAACGAACAAATTTTTTTTTCGATTTCTACGAACGAACGAACGAACAATTTCTTTTTTTTCAATTCCTACGAACGAACGAACGAACACAATTTTATTTTTAAATTTCTACGAACGAACGAACGAACAAAAATGTTATTTCTATTGCCTACGAACGAACGAACGAGTGTTCGTAGATGTTCGCAGCCAACACTAAGTTGGGCTTTTTGCTAAATATTTCTTGCAAATATTCACTAAAAAAATCTGAAACTTTAAATTCAAATTCAACAATAATAAGCCATACATATATGAATGGTCTGAAGTAAAATGTCAACTTGTGTTTTTAATCTTTAATCAATACATTATGTATGTCAAACAATTTACATTGTACAGCTGTAAACACATTGTACAGCTTTCCGACATAAAGTTTTTCTTGATGGAATAAAACATCAAGATTAGTTGATAATTGGCCAAGTTATGGTTGTTTGAATTTTTTGGCCACCATTTCACTACAATTTTATATCTTGGCCAAATGCCAAACGACCTTGATGTGTCAAAAAATTAATAACATGTACTTTTTAAGAGCTTCAAAACTGCATTATTAGATTTTAAAACCGACATCCTAGTTGAATTTTTTCCGATTTTATTACCGGCCAAAAAACTTATAGGGTTTTAATATTCAATAAGTCTCAATTTTATTGATGTTTAATTTTCAAACTATTTTGAACTAAATATTGCAAAGATATAATGAAAAAATGATTTTTTTAGTCGTATCCAAACTTTCTGGCAGCGGTGTACATTGTTCAGAGTTGTACTAGGGGATAGACACGTGGAATGAAAACTAACAGAAATTACAGGTTCAAACGCTTTCTACAAAATATTCGCAATTTATTCTGAATAAAATCAATTTAAAATGTTGTACCAGAAAAATAATTCAGTTTAACTATTTATCAAATAAAAAAACCTCTATCGAGGTGAAGAACGAGTGACGAAACCAAAATTTGAAACACAAAATTTCTGATATCAATTTTGAGATTATATTTTTTCTGTTTACTTTGAGTTCATACTGAAGCAATGAAGCAACGTTCCGAATATACAAAGGTGACCGTAGGGACAAAAGTCAAAAGGTGACTTTTTGAAGCCGGCCACTGCCAACATGGTGGTCAAATCGAAACAAAAAAGTCTTAGTTTTTTATGTACCTTAATGAAAGTTTCAAAAAGATCAGAAACAACTACGCAAAATCGCGCACACACAGACACATATACCAAATGATTTTTATAGCAAAATCAAATGAAATTTTTAAAATAATAATTTTTTCGAACGGATTGAACGATTTCGACGTTTGAGGTATCGTTGGAAAGGTATTGAGTCAACGACCTCATTTGTGCCATCTATGGCCATAAAACTGAATTTCGACCCTTTTCTTGAAAGGACCATATTTTGAAGACAGGTGGGCCGATTTTCGAACTTTGGTATTTTTTCTTGATCTATGGCACAAGGGCTTTCCAATAATACAATAATCGCGGCTAAAGGTCTTCCAGGTCAGGATTTGGAAATAACGTGTATATATAGCAAATCGACTTTTCAACACACTAATGTGGTTTCGTCACTCGCGCATACTGCCGTCCGCTGTGATTACTTACATTATTTGCAATATTCAAAGGATCGAGTACTATCTGTCAAAATATTTCCCCCTTTGCCAAGCGAAATTAATTCGATATACGGCGCTGATGTAAATGTCACTCTGTCATTTCACAATAATACATTTTTTGGCTTGACATTTTTTGGCATAATTATTGAATCGTTGAAAAAAAACATGTCATAAAATATTTTTCTAAGATTTTTCAAAAAAAAAGTTTCATCGATTAAATAAGAATCCAATGTAAATAGTAATAACAATGCGACACCTACCGTAAAAATGCAAAAAGAAACTTATTGTAGCATTTTGGTCCGCCATGACAGCATCTTCGTTTTACTTGACCAATCACAGAGAAGCAAAACGAAGATGCTGTTATGGCGGACCAAAATGTTACAATTCCAAATAAGTTTC